TTTGTAAAAACGTGATTCAAATTTTCAACATTATGATCACCACAATTACATTATTAAGAAGGAAGTAAGTTGGATACCACTTCTTTTTTTTTTTTTTTTTATGGCATCATCAAGAGGTATGACACTGTGTAGGAATTTCCAAAAGAAAATCGATATTTTGGTAGGAAGACCTGAATACCAAATATAGTGGAACTGGGGTGAATTCGAGCAGAGTCAAGTCAAATAGTATGACGCTCGAGCTTGGTTCGTCAAGATAGTATAAGGCTAGAGTAAAAAACTCGTAAGCTTGATCTTAGAGGTGTAAATTGGGCTATATCGCTTGTGGCTTGGCATGACGGTTTGTAGGCCGTGCCAGGCCTAGTATAATTGTGCGGGCCATGCTAGGCCTGGGGTTTTAGGTCCACGGGCCGGGTCGGCATAGCACGACCGAGTGGGCCATGTCGCTCGCAACCCGCGTGCTGGCATGACCCAGCCCGTAGCCCGACCTAGCACGGCCCATATATATTATATATATATTTATATAATATTATATAAAAATATATAGTATATAATATATTAATAAAATAAATATATTTTTTAATTTTATTATACTAATTTATTTATTTATTGTATATATAAGCGATTGTATACATCAAAATTCATATAAAATTAAAATTTTAAGTTTTTTGTCATTTTTTTAATAAATAGCTTTGGCCCGATGCATGACTTGACCTGGCCTAAGGCTGACTTGGCCCATGACACGGTATGGCACGACACGGACCCACACAAGCTTGAGCCGTAGACTATACCGAGCGACCCCCTAAATTATCCCAGGGGAGGGCGACACGACCTGATACAACCCGTTTTACACCTCTACTGGAGCTTGACCCAGCTCGGAACTCGACTAAAACCGAGGTGAGCTTTTCACAAATCGAGCTTCTCTCGTGATTCATGAAAAACTCGTCTCGTGACCACCCCTGATTGAAACCATGTTGTAACGAGATTCTAAACTGTAGAGAGAGAAAACCTACCTTTAGAAATCACATTCCGAATAAGCTTGTCATCTTCATTATATATGGTGATGGCAGTTTCTTTAGCAAAATCCATAATAAAATAAGGAAGGGTAGGTGTTAATTCAACAGTTTCTACTTAAATTCTCCAATTGCTAAATTGTCCCACACGTTTTATTCCTTGCAAAAAGGTGCTGATAAGGGCACCTTCTACTCTTGTTCTTTGATAGAACACGGCTGATTGATCGATCCATGGGGTGGTTGGGATGGTGTAGCTGATTGAACCGACATATAGATATTTCTGATTAGACTACAAATTCGCTTATTTTCTTGGGTGGAGTATTAATTGTTGAAATCAAAGATTTTGCGAGGTTCAGCACGCCAGCTTTAACCAATCAACCAGAAACCCAAATTTTTCTCTTACCTGTGTTTACGTGTGGATCTGTTCTAGTGACTATTTTCCATTCTCCCTTCCCCTCAATGTACAAAGGACACATGTGGTATATTGTGATTTTAATAATATGAATTCAATTTTATTCGATTATTGCCAACAACAACAATAATAATAATAGTATTTGTTTTAATAGCACAGTTTTTAACTTTTCGGAATTAATGGTTCTTAGTTAGACCCAAGAACACTTGAATTTATGTTTTTTAATCCTAAAACAAAATGGGGTTTTGTAATCAATAAGCTAGAACATCACTGCATGCTCCTATCAAGTATGACTGAATAAAAGAATAGTTGTCTGAATCAAGGGCTTTGTTTGTGAGAGAATTTTTTGGAATCCTAAGCCATTAATTTAGCTTAAACCTCATATTAAATAATTTAATTACTAATAACTAACAAGAATTAACTTTTGTTAACAAGCACCCATGAGGGTGGAGTACAGGCACCCTTTACTACTGGTGGATACTCCATGAGTTTGTTGTTCAAGGTCTGGTCTTTTAGGCAGATAAGTACAAAGAAATGTCCCCGGAAAACATGGGCATGTGACAAACACAGAGAGACTCACCCACCACACAGATATCTGATCTCTCCTTCTCTCTCTCTCTCAGCCCCACTCTCTCTCTCATCGCATTAAATGCCTACGTTCGCGGCGCCTCTTTTGCCAAAACAATTCAGAGCTTCGCGCCTGGAATATCAATCACCGATATGTGGAAACTCTCAAACCAAACTCACAAAAAATGAGAAATAAACAAAGAAACTATTTTCATCAACTGGGTCTCTCTCTTTCTTACCATACACATCCTATTCTATTATTTCTGCTTTTTTTTAAGTACAGTTCCTTTGTTTTATTCAATCCCACTACAGTCCCCTCCTCCCTACTACATCTCAAGCTCCCTTCATAGGCTTATTTGTATGGATGGTCATAGACTGACTGGAGTGACTGAGAGTTGGGAATATTTGACCAGTTATTAGTAGTATTATCCCTTGTTCGAGCACCTGGTTTTGCCTTTTGAATCCTCCCTTAATTCCTATGGTGGTCCTGTGTTATTAGGTGCTTGATTTCATATGTGAAGAAGATTGATTGATAGAGTGGGGTCCTACTCTGTGTTGAACAAATACCAAATACGAACTGGTTGGATTGATTCCAGCTACACCATTGACCGAGTAAAGCAAGGGCGTGACTGGCTTTGATTTGCCAGCGCCTTGTCTTTGAAATGGACGTTCCAGTGACTGATAACATGGTAGAACGGTCCCCTTGCTTAATTAAGTGAAATCTCCATCAGAATACATAGATGATAGGCTCATATAATTAATTAAGCTTGGGTATTTCTCTGATAAATGTAGGTGTGTATGTATATGATGCATATGTGGGACCGTCTAAAGATGAAGCTCCTTAATTATTTGTAGAATATAATGATCCCAACCGTTGGGACCCACATGGGGCCCAATCAAGAAGAGTGTGCACCATTAATATAGTTTAGATTTCTAATTAAGGCTGATAATTAATATCATAGACACAACTGATCATACACATATATCCAAATTGCAAGTAAAGAAGTTTTCTAGCGATTGTGATTTATGGTGATGGAAGGCAAAAGAAATGAAAGAAATTCTTTGCAAGATTGTCTTGTTTTGGTAGAAGAAATTTCAAATTTATATATAATGAAATGTCAACTCCATGCACACACGAGATTTGTATTTTGTTGGGGAGTATTGGTGGGGGAATTCCTCATTTTCTTAGCACACGAGACCCAAGTTCCTTATTTCCCACGTAGTCTTTCCATCAAAACTCTTATTTTATTCCTTGGAATATTTGTCCTCTTTGCTCTTTGGAATCTTTAAGGGGTTTTGTTTTAGTCTCTCACTTCTTTATTTCCATTATTCTCAGACAAACAATCAAACAAATCACAGTAATCGAGTCAATTTTGCGTGTCTTTAAGCCAAACCTAACCTCTTATTTAAATAATAAACCTCTAGGACCTTTTCCATTTTCAATACTTGAAAACAAAGGAAAACAAAAAACCAAATGACCCTCTATTGAAGACAGCAAACAATTAATCAGAATTCTATCTTCCAAGCCATGGAAAGTAAATCCCTGTATGACAGGGAAAATGATAGAGAAAAGAGACAACATAAGGGAGTGATTAACTTATTAAAACAAAATTTGCATACTTCCTTTAGGGGTGGTACTTAGGAAGAGGCCTTGTCTTGAGCAGAGATTAGAATTCTTAAAATGGGGTACTCATTTTGGAATTCCTCTTTTGGGAAGAATCTAAAAACCTGTGGATTTCCATCTTAATTCAGTCCACATATTAATCAAAAAGTGATATATAACCTTGTAAAAAATAAAGTATACATTTGTTGAGTTGTGCCTGAATTCTTGTTGCAGCCTATTTCATGATCAACCAACATTTGTGGGGAAAAATTTGCAGGCAAAATTTCATTGAGGTATGTAGCGGATCAAAGGGCTTGGGCCACCATGCACAGATTTATAGGTCTCATCCTATATGTTATGTCGAGTTGTTTTTTTTTTATGTATCTTTTGACTTGTCTTTATAGATAAAGCAAATTTGAGAATGAGAACTTGGGTGTATTAATGAGGTGTAGGGTTTTTTGGTGTGGGAGAGAAATTGGGTTTAGGTTTTCTTTTCTCTTTTTTATTTGCCAATTATTTTCAGATCTTGGATTTATTCTTTCACAACAACAGCTATATGAAATCAGATCAAGATCAAAGAACCCTATTAATAATGTTCACAAACTGACATGATGTTTCCTCCACACTTGTGGCTCATATGCAGCCATGCAGGTGGGGCCCCTCCAAAGTGCAGCTGCCGGGAAAGGATAAATCCTTCATCACATCTTGGAGGGTTGTAATTAACCATTCATAGATTCATTCAACTGGAAATGGATATATATATCTATATATATCTCTATATATATAGTGCAACTTACAATCTCCTGTTTGGATGAATGAATCCCCCACCCCAACATACCATCAAGTGACAAAGCTTATTCCTGATCTGACCATTGAAAGTGAAATGAACTAAAAACAAAGAAAATTTAAAAAATCGCTGGAATAACAACAAGAACAAAGAGACAGGAAAACATATTATAAGTTGAAGTGATGATACATGCATATATATTGAGACGGGTCTACCTTTCTCACAGTAAAATTTTATCAGCTTAAACGTATTTGGAATATATTATAACAAACATATGGAAATTAATTCGATCATCTCTGTATATCAGTGAGTGCAAAAATTGGTCAAACCATGAGAGAGAGAGAGAGAGGTCTACATAGACAACCTGTCAAAGAGAGATCGAAAGGAGAAAAGGCTCGAGAAGTCACATGATCTCCAACCGTCCAAAAAAGGGTCGTCGTTTCTATAATTCTATATTGCTATTAACTATTACCGATATTTATACAGTATACAAAAAAAAAAAAAGAACAAGTAAAGTTTATATTAATATTTGTGCATGGAAATTAACCATGAAAAGGAACCATTAATTTTTAAAACCCAAAAATTCTAAGAATATCTGCAATGTGATAACTATTGCCATGGAACTTGAATTCCACGGCTGGTTGAAAAAATGGGACAATTACATTGAAATACATACACCAATGACTACCTAACAGTAACTCTCTCTCTCTCTCTCTCTTCTTCTTCTTCTTCTTCTTCTCTCTCTCTCAACTGATCATTTGTTCAAGGATCGTTTCTTTCTTTGCTTGGGTGGGAAATCCAGGAACCAACATGTGAGCTCATGTTAGAATCTGATTTTACCGGCTATCTGCTTGAAAACCTGGACCGAGGAAGAAATGAGGTGCCTGCAGCAGCATAATCAATGGTAGGTATTGGGGGATGTTTCTTGATTTCTCTTCTTTTATATATGTATATAATATCACTCTTCTACTCCCCAGTTCCATTTTCCTTGTTTGGTTATCTTCTTTACGATACCTGATGATCATATATAGAAGATAATTAACTTGTTTATATCTGAGATAGGCCTTATTTTTTCATATCGATTCCTCAAGTTTTTTCTTTTTTTTTTTTTTTTCTCCTTCCTTCTTTGCAGCTACAAAAGAATTAATAACTAATCCTTCTTTTTGTTAATTAATAGCTTATTGTTCGAAAGATCCACGTTCTTATAATGATTTTTTTTTTTCATTTTTGTAATCATCTCGGGCTAAATATCACCTTTCTAACTCGTATCCCATACCAGTTGAAGCTGTTCTATTCCTGAAAATCATTTTTGTTAAGCAGCGTTTTTCTCTTTATGTATGTTGATTAAGTCTGGTCTTTCAAGTTTTTCATGAAACCAGACCCCAGTGTTATAACAATTTCACATCCCCCTTTTCTCTCTCTCTCTCTCACACACACACACACGCACAGACACACACAATCATCATGTACTAGAGTACATCCTATGAGGGCTTGTTTTCATGTAATTTCACAGCTCATATTCATGCCTTCATGCTCCATCTTCATATCACGTTTCCCTCCAAATCACAAACACGTTGTTAATGACTTCTGAATAAGAAAAATGAAAAGAAGAAGAAGAAACAGAAATTCCAGATTTTACTTCAATTAAGTTGTAATATAAGTAGGAAAACGAGTGCGAGTTCTGTATGTGTATTAGCTTAGAACTTTCTGCACTAAGTAGTCGGAGGCCTAATTAAATGAGAAGAATGGCTAGCCTAGCTGACTCATTTTTAGGTGAAGTTTGTTTTATACCTTGCTCATTTTCTTCTCCTTCTTCTTCTTTTTTTAATCTCTGCTGTTGTATATTATGTTCTTGTTTTCTATGAAATATCAGTATTTAGATTTTGAAATAAAACTGAATTTTCCATTTCCAACAAATTCACAGAACGAATAAGCACACAATGAGCAGCAGAGCGAGACTCAGAAACTTCATGCGTTTAGCAAGCAATGACATAAACATGTAGGTCTTAACTTCATCACCCTCCTCACTACTTTTATCACTTCAGGAAATATTCTGCAATAAACTAGGGAAAATTTCACACTGTGCTAATTAGGAGTTAGGAATTCCCTTTTTTTTTGCATCATTAAATATGGCAATTGTTCATCATTAAATATGCACTTCTTGTTTTCTTTTGTTACAGTCTGAACATTGATCCATTGATCACCTGTTTTCACCATGTTTATGAATTATGACTTTACATATTGAGTGGTTTAAGTTATATAATAAAAAATGCACATTCCCCAAAGCCATTAAATTGTTTGGAGCCTTGTTAAGTGTGGTGTGGTTCCTCCTACCCCCAAATAAATAAAAAAGGAAACAAAGAAAATAGCTAGAAAGGGAAATCAAAGAAATTAACGGAGAGTCACTGGATCAAGTTATAGGTTGAACAGGAAACGGTGAATCTAGATTATCATGGTCTCTGGTACTACCCTACTATTGTAAATGACTCTAAGAAGGGGGAAAATACTAATCCCATTTTAGGGTTTCAGACACGTTTTATGTACAAGGAATGTACAACGGCCCTTGTTGAGAAAGCTTGCAATGAAATTGCTAGGATTAATATAAGTTAATATTCCATTGTTCCATGTATATTCCTATAAACCGTAATTAAAAGGATATTAATTGAAGAAGATGGTTAATTAAAGTTTGAATGTTAACTAATTTTATTACAATCTGTACTTTTAGTTATTTGAATTGAAGTGAAATTGGGTAATGATAATTGTGTGCTTATGTTTTAGTACATTCATGTTTTTGCTCTTTAGTTTAGTTATTTGTATCATTGATCTTCATCAATATCTAGAATATTTTTCATGAATTTAATTATTTAAACTCATTTCTTTTATTATATGCCCTTAAAATTTCTCACCTGTTACACTTTTTATTGTCTTTTTATCTTCAATGGTTTGGGGTTTACATCTAAATTCATTCCTGACTTTCTCTTCTCTTCCCACCTCTCCACCTTGCTACTTTTATCAGCAAAGTAGCAACCATAGAAGAATATCAGTATTGGGGAGTTGCATAAAGGAGAGACAATCGATATGATTGAGAGAGTGGAGATCCATGAAGGAGAAAGCACGTCTCCATTGTCCTCCCAAAAGTGTTCATCTTTTGACTTGAATGAAGAAGCCACCAGTGAGGAGGATGATAGTACGGCGGAGGTGGCCACTGTTACTTCTGAACTGGGGAATGGGACGGTGGCGACTGCGGCGGGGGATGACTCCACAGATAAAAACAGCACCACAGAGGACGGTGAACGAACAACTACGGTGAGGCAATATGTTCGATCAAAAATGCCTCGGCTCCGTTGGACTCCTGATCTCCATCTCTCTTTTGTGCATGCTGTTGAAAAGCTTGGTGGGCAAGAAAGTAAGTTTAATTAGTAGTTTCCTTTCTTTTGCCTAGGGTGTCAATGGGTCGGACATTTCAAATCAAAATCGACGGATTAAAGGGACCAAATCTGATTTGGTCAGATTGGACCAAATCCGGTCCAATTGACACCCCTAGGCCCTACTTTGGCCCCTTCAAATAAATATCTCATTTCCAACAAAAACAATGAAGTCTCTCATTAAACTATATATTTTCATGAAAAAATTATCTTTTCTGTAGAACTGAGCAAGCCAAATATTAATTCGTTAAACCTTCTTTCTAGCTAGTTTATTAATCTTGTTGCATGGATAAATGGCTGTAGGAGCAACTCCTAAATTAGTTCTTCAATTGATGAACGTAAGAGGACTAAGCATTGCTCATGTAAAAAGCCATTTGCAGGTAAAATTAAACGAAGTGCAGTTATGGTGCTCTAGATTTTCTTTTCTCTCTTTCTTCAATGCCTAATGTTTGATAATGCTTTTTGCTGAAACAGATGTATCGAAGTAAAAAATTGGATGAGTCTGGGCAAGGTAGAACTATGCATCCTTCGCATACCTTCTCGCAGTTTACAGTTCCCTGTCTCATCGGCAATAGTCTTATTACATGTGAACCATGGGTTTAAAAACCCGACCCGGAACTGGAATTGTTTTGACCACCGGTTCCCGGGTCAAACAGTTTTTGGGTCCAAAACTGGACCTAGAGCCATGACTGCTTCCTGTCTTAAATGGTCTGACCATCCAGTCCGATTTAATTTTCAAAACCATGCTCTGAACATTATTATTATTATTATTATAGAATTAAAACCTATTAAGTGATTTCATCTAGCTTAAGTTTTTAGGTTTAATGGTCAGAAATCTGTTTGATCAAATGGTCTAATATTCAATACTTGCTGCCCCATCATAAATCATAATTAATTAAATTTTTAATGGCGGGCCTTTATTTGTCCACCCTTCAAGTCCAATAAGCTTTTGCATGAGAGGGCGTGCCATAGAATAATATCTCAATACCCAGAAAAAAGATTCAGAAAAAGAAAATATACTTATTTTTATTAATATGCTAATTATAAAATGATTACTCCTTGAGGCTATTACTTATTAATACTTACTCATCCATCTCTTTTTTTCTTTTCTTTCTGTTTTTTTTTTATTAACTTTTCTTCTCAGAAAAATCTATAATACCGAAAAGACATGATATAGAAAAACCTTGACCAATCAAAACACCCTATAAATTTTAATGAATATGACCTGATTTATCACCCCGTAAGTATTTTCGATATCAATTCTGGTATCATAGTTGAAGCCAGATAATCTGACCTTTCTTTTTTTTTTTTCAGTTTTATCTGAAATGTTCTACCAAAGAAACAGTCCTTATCGACACTTCAAAATGGACAACCGAAGCATTCTCCTGGCCCGGAAAGCCCATGATTCTAATCCTCTTCAGTGTCTCTTCAAAGATTCCTTCTCACAACGGTCATACAGTTTTAAAGCCAACCCCTCGAGGTAAAGAATGTATACAATAGCATTAATAAAAACAATAGAAGGAAGAATTTTTCTTTTTTTTTTTTTTGATACTCCGGTTTTTGATAAATTATTATTCTAATTCATTATTTTTTTTTCTCCAGTTGCCCTTCTGATAGACATGAAGACTGGGCTTTCAATCGGCAGAGCTCGATGAGGCCAGTTTCATTATCAAGCAAAGATCAAGGTCAAGGACTATCCCAGCCATCGGTTTCGTATCTATCAAGTACAAGGGGTGTATTCACAGGAAATGGGCTCATTAGGCACAGCCAATTTCACGAAGAGAAGAGGTGGCCTCCACGTGGAATGATAAATATCAACCAAAGAATAAAGGATAGAACTATTCCTGCAAATGTTGGTTGGGTTGGGACTAGCTCCCAACCTCCACCCGGCCAAATTCATTCTGGGCCCATTTGTTTTGATGTGGCCCACACCCTGCACCCTCCAGGATGGATTGCCAGCAGTACTGCTACCAACAAACAATATCGTTCCTGCAGCATTCCTGATCCCTTAGTAATCTCTGGAAGCTTCCAAACAGAACTTGGTGGGACCCCATTTAGGCTTGAGGTAAAATCTTCTTAGGATATATAAAAGAGATGGTATTAGCTGAACGCAATGGCCATTCAGTATATTGTGGAACCAATGGTTACACTCTACATCATGGGACTTACAACCATTCAATCTTTCACTGTGGACCCCATAAAATATATGGGACCTACAAGCATTCAAGGGTCCATATATATTGAAAGTGCTTCTTAAGTCTGAACCATAGAATTTGCATTTGATTAACATATATAATAACCCTCGAAAGCATATGGGTTTGACTATGATACCATGATATTTGAAAAACTTCTAATCAATCAACTGGAATCATAAATATAGAAATCAATCAGGTGTTATTTTTTAAAATTCATGAGTTGGTTTTGATTGGTCAAAACTCTTTAGATATCGTATATATCTCGCATCATAAATTTTTCCTTTTCTCTAATACTTCTCAAAAGTTGTGTTTCTTGCTTTAAATGCAGTTACAAAATCAACCCAAGCAAATAACTGAAAAGGAACAAGAGATGGAAGAGAATACAAATTCAAAGATGAAAGAGAAAGAAGGGCAGCCCAATTTGCAGCTGAGTTTGAGCCACAACTTAACATTTGAAAGAGAGAAGGGTTGTGAAAAAGCAAAAGAAATCAGTACAATGCTTTCTCTTTCTTTGTTCCCATCATCATCATCATCATCATCATCATCATCATCATCCAGGCAACAAATGCATCCCAGTGAAAAGCACATAGAGATTGCCCAAACCAAAACTTGGTGCTTACAAACAAATTGCAGCAAGGCCGCATTGGGGCTGAGTACTTAGGATCTGACCATGTCGATAAGCATAGGAGTGAGATCTTGTAAGTACTTGTCTTAGAGGCCATAAGAACAACAATATTGTCTGCTGTTTACAATAATGGTGTATTGCCTTGTTATTATTAATTGTTCCTTTTTTCCCTCCTCTTCTAGGTTTCTTATTGGTCCACTTAAAGCAATTTTTAAAAGATAATGCTATGCTTCACCAATTTTGGTCTTCTGATGACCTTAGGCTCAGTTTGGAAAGAATGCAAATTTGTGTTTGCACTCTTCCTAAACCGAGATTTAAGTTCACAAAGCAAGTAGCTCCAATATAGACAGAAACTAGGGTCACGTAAATAGACATATATACTTGATAACTTGGAGGCATTCAAATGTATTTTTTTGCTGCAGCAGCTCTTAGTGCTAGGGCTAGTTGTTTGCCCAAGTAACCTGTGTTGGGGTCCTTTTCATACTACACTCGAGGTTCAAAGTATTGGAAATGTCAAGTGTATCGGAAAGGCAATTTTAAGAGATGTATCAAGATATGTCTTGGATATGAATGAGTATCAAACAAAAAAATTAAAATACTTTAATAAATCATAAAAATACATCAATAACACTAAATATAATACCTCAATGAGGTATATATACATTAAATTAATATATTTTAATAGTTTTATGAAGAATACATTGTAGTTAATTCATTAAAAAAACCTATGCTTAACTATAATTTATAAATTATAATTCTTAAGTTTTATAGGATGGGAAAAACTCAATTCTATCCAACATAAAACATGCATCGCACAACTTCTAAGTGAAAATATAATTAATAATTTTTTATTTTTTATTTTTTATTTTCAAAAATTATAAAAAATAAATAGGCATTATACAATATATTCAAAAAATAGTTATTAAAGAAGAAATTTCAATTGCTCTATGGATATGATAGATTATCCATAGAATTATATTATTTATTTTTTAATTATAAAAATATAAAAAATCAAAACAAATATTAAAGAAAAAATTTCAATTACTCTATGGATACGATGGATAAAACCATAGATCTTAAACATATTAAGTCTTTATAGGTAGAGAAAAAATTATATTTTCAAATTTTTTAATTTATATTTTCCCCACATATCTTCATAAAATTTCTATAGATCTACTTAACACAAAAAAAAATATGATTTTAAAGATAAGAAATGTAGATCAACATAGATTTAAACATTTAAGAAAAAAAGAAATCACGAGATATTATAAAATTTGAAAAAACTTACCTATTTTTGTCATTTTTTCGAAATTTGAAAAATTTTTAAAAAAAATTAGTGTTTCATGCTTGCTTCTTGCAAATTTTTGCATATCTAGCACTTTAGGAATAATGTTTGGAGTTTTAGAGTCGTTTGGGGGGTGAAAGAAGGCTTATTTTAGGAGAAAGAAGCTTGCTTTTCCGTTTTTTCTTTTTTTTTTAGCTTTTGGTCACATCTTTTTCATAACATATTGGTTGATACGCTACCAATACACCCTGATACAGTTTAATATAGTGGAAAAAAGATGATGATTTTCTACCATATCTCATATCAGACTTTTAAAGATACAATACGATATGCCTCATATTAGACGTATCATATCAAAATTTGAAACCTTCACCATACTAAGTGGCACTTAGAAGGTTACTACAATTGGGGGCTTAATTCTTTAGGTACCTTCATAGCATTGTTGGAGAAAAGAAAGAAAGCCAATCAGGTCATGAAATGGCTTTTTAGCATGACAAAGTGAGAAAGTGATTTCTTAGTGAGAGAAATACAATCCTTTTCTTAATGAAGAGATCATTTCAACACTTTTTGGTGTGGGCCTCACATTATCTATTGGTCATTGGGAAAAGTACTCTGCAAATCACTACAGAATTCTGAATTACAGCCCCCCATAGTCTACTAGTAGCCCCACCCCTATAAACCGCATTCTGCCCGTGAATTTGGCTTCAATCCATGGTTAGGATTCATCCCCCCTATAGGGTAGAACTAAAGAATTCTGAGCTGAACTGATCAGTTATTGTTCCTATTTTATTCCATATAAGAATAATGGCATTACACCATGTCAGCCCGTGACAAGATCCCTAATCTGTGCACTTGTTTAAGACAAGAATGTCACAACATCTTTGATCTTTGGGGAATGTCTCCTTGACCTCCAAACCACTTCCTCATGTAAGAGATGGTAGACAAACTTAACCCTTGTTATAAAGAATATAGCATCCACCCTAGGTTTATGGGGTATATATATTCCTTTGGTATGTGGCCTATGTGGCCCAAGTCTAATGTGTACAAGCTTAAGTCCCTAGAGGTCAAATTGGACCCCTAGGTTGAAGTGGGCCTCTCGGGCAATGGTTTCAGGTCAAAGTGGAATTTGACCTTTGAGCCTGATTTTAACTTTTAGGTCGGAATGGATTAGACTCTTGGGATTAAGGCTGTATTTGGTATCATTGCTGTTTTTACGGGAAGTATTTGGACTTTATCAATATTAATACAAAATTTTGAAAAGTGATTTTGTCAAATTATATATGATAATCACTTTCACTAAAAAAATATAAGTATTGTATTGGGTGTAGGTATGTATAGTAAAAAATTAAATTTGAATTGAATGGTTAGTCCATTTTAACAAAAATAAAAATAAAAATTAAAAAAATAACGGTCAAAACCATTTGAACGGTTAATCGCCTTGATGGTCAACAGTTTGCTGACCAAAATCAATGGTTTTTAAAGAAAATTCAGTTTTGGGGAAAATCGAAACCGATCACCTGACCGGTTTCTGATTTTTCCGGTCCGGTTTTGAAAACCATGGGAGAATGGACTGTACAGGTGATTAGTGCAAAAAACATCTTCAACAATCTGAAATAAAATTAAATGTTTTCACTAAAATCGGTCAAGTATCGGATTGAAAGGTTTAATGTACATGAAGTAGCAGTAAAGGAAGTGCTTTCTTATCTACAAAATCAGCTTTGATGCAACCTACTGGTGTAATGCTCTGTATCTTGTTGCTAGTCCGGACTGTTCATAAGGGGGGCCAAGATGTTCAGTTTTGTACCGTGTCTGGCATGCTTTAAAAAAACTAATTTTGATGAATTTTATGATTCTAAGAATCACTTTTAAATTTGAATTTATCAAAATTATTAGAACTAATTCTAATTCTTTTTCCCACTTCAAAATTTGTTCTAAGAATTGATTATACAAAGCTAAAATAAAGGAAAAAGGTAGGGAAAGGAAGGAAAAGGTAAGGAAACTTTTACAAACCTTGTATATATTTCCTTACCTTTCCCTACTTTTTCATTCAAACCAAACAGTCTAAATTTCCATTGCTGGAATGTGGCATGAGCATGGTCCTTAGAGGGTTGCAAGGGAGTGCAGTTGCAGAAGACGTGAATTTGTTCATGACGATTCTTAGATGATTGAGATTTCTTGTCAAATGGCTTCAACAGGATCATCCCTGTTTAAGCTATCTAGATTAACTATGCTGAATGGGATTATATATATCTCTAGATTCAGCAAATATTGGCATTGTAAGAACATAGACATCAAAATCACACCACAGATCCAGTTTAAACAATTTAGAATCAGAATCGAGTCAACCCAATCCGTTGATGAACCTGGGCCACCAAGCAATAAGTTAAAACAAAATTTAAGTTATTCCTGAATCAAAGAGAAAATGGGAGGCCATCCACTCAAATTATGGAATAATCTCTCTCTTTCTCTCTCTGCCAAACAAGTAATGGGAACTATGGTTGTATGGTCCCTCTACGGAAGGGAATGAATCATATTTAGCACTGAATTTGAAGCATGATCTCAGATGATCATCATTTCTTGCTATCTTAATGGGTGTTTGATTGATCAATTACATAATAAATCACACCTATATATACGCTTTGAAAATGATTTTAAAGTTTCCACCAAAACTCTTTTTTTTTTACTTGATTTTCTTCTTTTAAGACTTTTCCCACATTGGAAAAATATTTAATTTGACTTGGGTTTTTAATTAGTAAGAGTATGGAGGCTTGCTACTGTGCAATGTGCATGTATACATGTGCACGTGCATGTATGGTGCAATAAGGTGCTTAGTTTGATTTACATGATAACTCTCTAAAACTTATAAAAGGGTGTAAATCAAATTGATTTTGCACACAAGTTTTTGCTTCTTACTACAAATCACTTGTGTCTCTCTCAATCAAACTACTACTGTCTCAAAAAAGGTTTCTTTGGAGATTTTTCAACTTTTAGTAGTAGGTTTTTACCCTACTTTTTGTTTTATTCTAGGAATGAATTTGTTAATAATCTAATAACAAACTCAATAAAACCAAGTGGAGATAAATAACATTCAAAAAACATTGTCTTTAGATATGCCTTAGAGCTTCTCATCCAAATTTCTATAAACAATTTCTAAATACTAAATTACTAAAATTAAAAAGAACCTTAATATCTCACATCCCTAGAGCTAGTGTATATTGGGGCTGCTAATTCCCTTGCAAAGTTAGCAATTATCTCATCCATTTGTGCAATTTGGATAGAGTAGCATATACCAAGAAATAATTAAGGGTAATAGACTTGAATATACCTTGAGTTTTCAATTCACTATTTGACTTAAATGTACCCAAATTTTTCAAAAAGACTTAAAGATACCTTTTGATTCTTTTACCCTTCATTTTCTTTCAAATTTTCAAAAAGAACCAAAGGGATGATAAATCTAAGGCTCTATTCACTTTTCGGTAAATTATTTATCCGAGTAAATGTAGTTACCTGGGTAAGTTTTTCCCGGGAAATACTTACCTGAGTAAGTGCATTTACCCATGTTCTTTTATTTCTCATGTAAATAAGGCAATGACCAATTTAGCCGTAAAAATTCATTACTAAAAAGAGCATATTTGTCTCATTCAAGTGTTTGGCAACTTTCCCCCTAGGTGGGAAGGTTATTTACCCACACCTAAGAGATGGGTATCACTTACCTGCCCAAGAAAATAGACTTTCCCTAGTCCCCACATAAATCTGAAAAATGAATATGGGATTCTTGGTCAATGGGGTTCCCATTGACCAAGTTTCCCCCTCTCAAAATCCAAAAAAAGAACACCCCCTAAATATAATGAGATTGATTATATTTGGCTATACAAAAT